GGTTTGTTTTGGAGAAAATTGGAGAGAACATGTCTCTCCATTTCTCTCTAAAAAGGCCGGCCCCTTGGAGGGTGTATCTAGCCATACTAACTACTCCAAGGTCACTCATTTCTTCTCCAATCTAACCTTGGTGAAGATACTTAGAGGTTCTCAATTTTGGGAACTTGGAGAAACCTTTTCATCCATCCAAATCCATAGATTTTAGATGCAAGGAATGAAGGCCCTCTCTTTGGGTGATTAGCCTTTGCTTATGCAAAGAGGAATCTACAAAGGTATAAATTTCTCAACTCACTTTGTTTTGAGTTGAGTTTTGGTTCACCAATCTACTAGGCTTTGAATTTCTTGGTTTATGTTTTGTTTTTAAGTGCATGCAAGCATGATTCCGCCTTTAATTGTTAATTGCATGCTTATAGATGTTGCTTAAATGAACAAGTTTTCACAAAATCTTCCTTCATGTTAGTCACAATCGTGTTAAGTAGATTCTTGGCAAAAGTATCATGCAGTTCATAGTTATAATTGCCTTGTCAATGCTTATGATTTCCATGGAATTTAATGATCTTTGAATGTATCTCTATCATGTTGTTCATATAGGGAACTTGAGAAGAATAATTTGGGCTGTTGCATGCATTCATCCAATTCAATGAATTTAGGGAAATCTGATAGTTAATTTGTGCATTCACGATTAATTTGGGGCATTGTCGTTCATGGTTTAAAGAAACAATACTGGAAATTGATTTATGTTGCATATGTTCATGTGTGGAGAAGGATCCTCTAACTAGCTTTTCACCCTTGAATTCATCTCAATTTCGTTTTAGTTTACTTTGATTTGCAATTTGTTTAGTTTTAATTCAATTTCGTCAGAAATCAAACTCCCTTTTCTGTTTTATGTTATTAGGTCAGAATCTGTCCTAATTAGGTTTTTAGAGTGTTTTGAGTCAATATAGGTTAGGTTTAGTCCATAAACATTGTTTGGGTCTTAGTTTAGTCTTAAATTTGTCCAATTTCATCTCTAGAATCTGTTTTGAGTCTAATTGTTAGTATTGTGCTGTTTTGAGTCTTTTAAGTGTTTTCTGAGTTAGTTAAGTTACAATCTGTTTTCTTTTAATCTTTTGAGTCAAAGTAAGTTTTAATTTCGTCCAAATCACTTGTTAGGTTTAGAATTGAGTCAATTTCACTAAGTTTTGCATATTTGAGTGTCTTAGGTCAGTTTAGAGTCTATAGAGTCTATTCTTGTGTTTTTAAGTCTAGTTTAGTGTTTTAGAGTTTAATTTGAGTAGATTAGCAGCCCTAGTTAATCCCCGGTTTAAAACGATCCCTATTTACATCTTTGCTACAATTGTCATCAATAGGGTTTAATTTGTGTGTCAAGTAATTTTCACACCAATTTCCGATAGCGGAGCTATTGACCACATCACCTTTGATTCCAAACTTTTCATTGAAACAAATTCCACACCAATGCCCATCTTTAATTTACCTACTGGCTCTACGACTGTCATCACTTCCACTGGCACAATACCGTTCAATTTCAATATCACTTTAGAGAACGTCTATTGTGTTCCTTCTTTTCGTTTAAATCTCATGTTTGCCAGCAAGGTCACTAATTCTCTAAATTGTTGTGCTGTTTTGTTCCTCACTTTCTGTGCTTTATAGGACTTGGCTACAAAGAAGATGATTGGCTTCAGGACACAGCATGATGGTCTCTATTACATGTCTCCTTTACAACGCCCGTCTGCTTCCAACCAAGTTTCTCGACCCTCAAATTTGTGGCATATGCGAATAAGACACCCATCACCTTCTTGCCTTAAATTTCCATCTCCATTTTTATCTTCACATAATATTTATTTGGGTAAATTACATAAAACTACCTTAACTATTGGGCCAGTCACAATGTCATACATCATCTTACGAATTTGTTACAATTTCATATCTTCCATCAGTTTGTCTGTCAATTCTTTCGTTAAATAGTGACATGGCTTAAAAAATAAAAATATTAAAAAATTAAAAAATTAAAAAATTAATTAAATATTAAAAACTAAAAAAATAAAATCATTCAGTAATTTAATATTTTTTTTGCATGGGGGACCCACCCCTTATCCCCTCACCTTTCTTCCCTGCTCCTGTCTTCCCCCAACCCATCCCCCCAAACTCATCACCCTCAACCTTCTTCCCCACCTGTCTCCCCCAAACTCATCACCCTCACCATTCTTCCCCATTTCAGTCCCCAATTTTTAATTTACTCAAACAAATCAAATCCCAAATTTTATCAAAAGATCCTTCACTGCAAACCCAAGAACCCATCAAAAACATTTATTTTCCCGAGAACCAAACAGCCCCCAGAGAAATTTTTTTATTCAGATTAAGGGTTGCTTTCCTCAAATTTTCTTTTCTGGCTTTGGTGGGTCGGTGGGTAGGGACTGATTCAAAAGAATGGTGGTAAAGATGATGAGGTGGAGACCATGGCCGCCTCTGACGACGAAGAAGTACGAGGTGAGGCTTGTGGTGCGGAGGCTAAAAGGCTGGGAACTAATGAGGGAGGGTGCAGGCGGGGCTCGTCCACATGACAAAGAAAAAGAGGACAAGTGGACGGTGGAGATTAGGTGGAAGGGATCCAAGGTCAAGGTCGGGACCAACGAGGCTGCTATTGCAGCGTGAAAGGGAGAAAGGGAGAGAGAATACGGGAGGAAAGGGGAGATAGAGGGGAGGGATGGTAGTTCTGGGCACGACGAGAGAGAGAAGTGGGGGAGGAAGGATACGAGTGGGTGAGGGTTTTTATTAGGGGTGGGTTCCCCATGCAAAAAAAAAAATTATTAAATGATTTTATTTTTTTAGTTTTTAATATTTAATTAATTTTTTAATTTTTTAATTTTTTTTAAGCCATGTCACTATTTAACAGAAGAATTGACAGACAACTGATGGAAAGTATGAAATTGTAACAAATTCGTAAGATAAGGTATGACATTGACATTTTTTTAAAGATGAGGTATGAAACTGTGATTGACCCAATAGTTGAGGTACTTTTATATAATTTACCCTATTTCTTTTAATAATGATTGTTGTGATGACTAAAAAAAAATATAATGATTGTTGTGTTTGTCATATGGCCAAACAAACTAGATTTTCATTTCCTTTGAGCTCTATATCAACTCATGCTCCATTTGATTGTTGCATTATGATATTTGGGGTCTACACAAAAGTTCCTACTCATTTAGGGGTCTCATTTTTTTTACCATCATCGATGATTATACTAAATGCTCATGACTATATTTAATGCAACATAAGTTTGAAACTCAACATATTTTAAAATCTTGCTTTTGCTCACTCAATTCCATGCCAACATCAAAGCTATACTAGTCGACAACGGCTCTGAATTTATGTCCATGAGTGAATTTTTTCAAACTGATGGCATTGAACATCAACGAACATTCGTTTACACTCTGTTGATGTACAAAACCGGAGGTCTTGGAACAACGTAAATCCGACCGTGAATCTACAAGAAATGTAAATTACACAAGATGTATCGTGGTTCACCCCAAGGTTTGGGCTACGTCCACCCTGATTGTATTTCTCTGACTGTATGTATGAATTACAAGGGTAAGGGGGAGTCCTCCAGAGAAAGAGAGTGTTATTGTGTTTGTGAGGGTATTGCCCTCTGTTGGGTTCCCAGACTCTCCCTTGTGAGGGGGGGAGGAGTTCCCTTTTATAGAATAAGGGGCTTCTCCTTTTACATAATTATATGGGCTGGGTAATGAGGCCCAATGTATCAAAGTCTGAGGCCCAATATGTGTGGTACCAACAGTAGTCCCCCAAGTCTTCAGTCAAGAGAGTTTTTTGGCTGGAGATTTCAAATCCAATCCATGTACGGGCTGAAGTGGCTAGATGTCTTGAACCGGTACTCAACCCAAGGCAATGCTCAACATAAAGCAATACTCGGCTAGAGGTATCACACGTTACAAGACTGCTCGGCTGGAGGCGATGCTCGTTGCGAGGCTGCTCGGCTAGAGGCTATGCTCGCTGCGAGGCGTTTGCTCGGCTGGAGGCGATGCTCGTTGTGAGGCGGCTCGGCTAGAGGCTTTGCTCGCTGTGAGGCGCTCGGCTCGTGGTATTCCTCATTGCAAGTATCTACTTTATGTCGACATGCACTCAGTATGAGTTGATTCTCGACATGACTCGGGTCTGCTTGTCGGGTTCGCATATTAGGTCTATGTGTCGGATCCACGGATCGGGTCCGCAAGTTGGGTCTTTGAGTCGGGGCCATACGTAGGTTCATCGAGTTGGGGCTATCTATAGGGTCATCGAGTTGGGTCCAGGCACATAAATGTCCCAATAAGCGAATGTTCGAGCAAGTGGGTGTCCGGTCAGACAAGAGATCATCGTTCGGACTAAATCTTTGTCACCATAAGTATATGGCTCAATGATCTATAGGCTAATCAATAGTATCGGTATGCTTCTTTAATTAGCAACAATGTTGATCAACAAAGTCTGTGCCATGAACCACCAAAATTATGTCACCCTAACATTCAAATAATAAAAGGTGTAATTTGGTCAGACTTGTCACATGTTATGGAAAATAGTCATGTGATAAATCATTAATAATAATGTAAAACATATTATTATAACATGTCACCCCGTTCGTTTAGGTAGTAATGCAATTTGTATAACAATAAAATAATGATAGTAGTAATGATGTGTATGCGTCGTGACCCGACATAATTAGCACACAACAGTAGTGGAAAAGCAGATATTGTGAGGTGCCGCACTATCAGATCATATATATATATATATATATATATATATATTGTGAGGTGCCACACTATATGCACACAGATCATGAAAGCAAATAATATATTGCTAACTATGCACTAAAATATAAGTGATAGAAATGATGTGGTCTCTTCAAAGAATATGCATACTATAAAGCGCCCACCAACACAAAATAATAATAAACTATTAAATAATAAATTAGTTCATGAATGATTAAATAATAAACTATTTAATAATAGTGTGGTCTCGTCAAGCTGTTGCTATTGCACAAGCAGTGGGACGTGATGACAGCCATGAAAGAAATGATATGGTCTCTCATATGCATACTGTAAAGCAAAGGTATCTTATCACAATAATGATAAAGTAATAAAATAATAAAGAAAATGATCTTATCTTTCTTTTGAATTGTAGTTTTTGATAAAGCTTCAGGTCGAGATACGTATCCCATTTGTTTCCGATAACCTTGCCGCAGGTGAAACAGCGCATTGGGATGATCATCTTGATTCACATCATGCATCGGTGTCTGGCAACACGACCGTGTTGAGATCATTGCCAACGACCAGGGTAACAGAACCACCCCGTCGTACGTCGCTTTTACTGATACCGAGCGGTTGATCGGAGATGCCATCAAGAATCAAGTCGCCATGAACCCTATTAACACCGTCTTCGATGCTAAGCGGTTGATTGGTCGTAGAGTTACCGATGCCTCTGTCCAGAGCGACATGAAGTTGTGGCCATTCAAGGTTACCTCCGGGCCCGGTGACAAGCGCATGATTGGAGTCTTTTACAAGGAAGAAGATAAGCTCTTCGCCGCTGAGGAAATCTCCTCCATGGTCCTTATCAAGATGCATGAGATCACCGAGGCCTACCTTGGCAGCACCATCAAGAACGCTGTTGTCACAGTTCCTGCCTACTTTAACAACTCCCAGCGTCAAGCAACCAAGGATGCTGGAGTTATTGCCGAAATCAATGTCCTCCATATCATCAATGAGCCCACTGCTGCCGCCATTGCTTATGGCCTTGACAAGAAGGCCACCAACGTTGGTGAGAAGAATGTCTTGATCTTCGATCTTAGAGGTGGTACCTTAGATGTGTCTCTTCTCACCATTGAGAAGGGTATCTTTGAGGTTAAGGCCACAACCAATGACACCCAGTTGGGAGGAGAAGATTTTGATAACAGAATGGAAAACCACTTCGTTCAGGAGTTCAAGAGGAAGAACAAGAAGGATATCAGTGGCAACCCCAGAGCACTCAGGAGGTTGATGACATCCTATGAAAGGGCAAAGAGAACCCTCTCTTCCACCGCGCAGACCACCATCGAAATCGACTCCCTTTATAAGGGTATTGATTTCTACTCCACCATCACCCGTGCTAGATTCGAGGAGTTGAACGTGGATTTTTCAGGAAGTGTATGGAACCAATCGAGAAGTGTTTGAGGGATGCCAAAATGGACAAGAGCAGCGTCCGTGAAATGAGCCATATCTACTAACTATGTCTACTGATGTTTCCGTAGTTGGAGAGGATCTGAAAGTAGGGTTTGTGGGTAACATGGTCAATTCCCATCTTGGAAAGCTTCTTTTTCAGCTTGGTGTTCCAATAGTTTTTGACATCATTGTCTGTTCTTCCTGGTAGTCGTTTTGCAATGAGATACCACATGCACTACATAAGCATGGAGTAAGAGAAAGAGATGATATGATTGTGTTTCCATCACAGCAGCCGTGACTGGGAGTTGGAGCGGGAGACATGGGTCTTGCAGTGACTGTGCAGGTGTTTGGCTCTTCGGTTTTTGCAGATTCACGGTAGAGGTTGTAAAGTTTTCACGGTGGTGAGATGAAAAATTGAGAGAGAACCGACATAGCTTTTCGTGTCGTTTCCCACAAACGGCGCCAAATGTTGATGCACAAAATTGGAGGTCTTGGAACAACGTAAATCCGACCGTGAATATGCAAGAAATGTAAATAACACAAGATGTATTGTGGTTCACCCCAAGGTTTAGTCTACGTCCACCCTGATTGTATTTCTCTGACTGTATATATGAATTACAAGGGTGAGGGGGAGTCCCCCAGAGAAAGCGAGTGTTGTTGTGTTTGTGAGGGTATTGCCCTCTGTTGGGTTCCCAGACTCTCCCTTGTGAGGGGGGGAGGAGTTCCCTTTTATAGAATAAGGGGCTCCTCCTTTTACATAATCATATAGGTTGTGTAATGAGGCCCAATGTATCAAAGTCTGAGGCCCAATATGTGTGGTACCAACACACTCCACAACAAAATGGAGTTTTCAAATGTGTTTTAACTGCTGTCTAACTCATTAATCGCCTACCATCACTACTACTATCCACTAAATCACCTTTTGAGATATTGTACAACCGTCCACCATCTTCTAATCACCGGAAGGTTTTTGGCTGTCTCTGTTATGCAATCTTTGTGATGTGAAATTTGGATTTGGATGCTCGCCGAATCCCCTCCTTGGGGATCCTAGGGATCAACAAACACAGACCGTTAATCAAAAATCGTGCTGTCACAATTTTTTTCTTTTTTATATTTTTCATGCAAAACGATGCTGCTTTACTTTTAAAAATATAAAAAGCATTTAATTGGGACCGCACGATTTTTTATCAATGGTCCGTGTTCGTTGATCCTTAGGATCCCCAGGGAGAGGATCCGGCAAGAATCCAAATCCGTGAAATTTTGTGAATTTACCTTTCCTTTCTCTTCCATTTCAACGCCACGTGCTCCCACTTTTGAATTTGGGTCTTGCTATTCACACATCTATTATTACCTTTAACGCACATCTCTTAATTTTTAATTGTCGAATCGAATAAATTGAAGAAAATCAATAAACGCACAATTATCAAAAATGTGTGAGGGATAAAAAATAGTATATGAATAGCACTATTTTGAATTTTTTCCAATCTCCCCAGATGACAGCATCCATGCCCATCAATCTTCCAACACCAAAGTGCCATTAAACAATCCACCTACACAGACGCCACCATCCATCTCACCTATATGCATAACGGACCAAGATTCTCTCCTCTCCTCTTTCCATTCCATCCTCTCACATTATCTATTTTGTCCTTCTTTTTTCAAAAAAAAAAAAATTAATATAAGATTTTGACGTGACTTAAACGTGAGCGTTCAAATAAGATGGGAAGGAAGGGGAGGGACAAAAAAGAGGGAAGAGAATCCTACTCCATGCACAACCTCTAGAGCGGTCTGACACACCAGAAAGCAACAGCCCCTCTACCCTACTTGTCCACACACCTCACCTGCCCATCAGCAGCCCTACACCAGCAGTGTCATCCCATCCCATCCATTCCACAGAATCTGATTGCCCCACCGAATCAAGTACTCCACTTTCTCCCCACCCATCTATCACATCTAGAAGTGGGTTCAGTTTCATTCAGTTCGATTTTTTACCAAAATCGAAATCGAACCAAAACTTCAATTTAATTTTTTTTGGTTTGGTTTGGTTCGGTTCGGTTTGGTTTTATTTTTTTCGGTTTGGTTTCAATTTTTTTTAATATGAAATTTAAAAAAATAGGCTTACATTGGTAGACTAATAATAAGAAATGGTAGACTAATAATAAGAAAATAGGGAAAGTGGGAAGGTAGTTGTACATATACAATCCTATTATATCAACAACCTCAATTACAAAGAAAATGATCACCGTATTCATTCCAAAAACAAACAAATAGATAAGCTCTTCCAAAACTTTCCTCTATAACCAATAGAATATTCTCCCTAATTGAACCAAGTATGCTCCTTGAAAAAGCCCAAGCTTAGTTTTGAACTTGACAACAAAGTTTCACAAAAGGAACATCATGGGCATAAATTCATAGTGTAAAGGGATTCAATTTGGTTTGGTTCGATTTTTCCATTTTCGATTCAATTTTTTTTCTTCAGTTTTTCGGTTTTGGTTCGATGTTCGATCTAATTTTTTTCGATTTTCGGTTTTTGAACCCACCCCTAATCACATCCCCACCCCCCAAGACAGTCTCTTGGACCTAGGCAATCCCCCACATGGCATAAAGACATCACATGACAAACCAAGTCACTCAGTCTGCCCCGGTGCCGCCACCTTCTTCCTCTAGTACTCGTTACCTTTCTCCTTTTCTTTCCTACTCTCGCTTCTCTTATGCCCATTGTACTTTTCTAGCTAATATTACAGGCGAACTGAGCCTACATTGTATACTCAGGCTATCTTTAATACTAATTGGCGCCAAGCTATGCATACAGAATTAGAGGCTGTATAACATAATAACACATGGAGTATGGTTCCTCTGCTTGTTGGTTCGAAACCGAAGTTGCAAATGGGTTTACAAAATCAAATACAAGTGTGAAGTAGTAGGTGTGGAGCCAAAAATATTCACTAGGCGACATGTGGATTTTTGGACAAAATAGGACAAAAATACCCTCGAGGCATACCGGGTCTCCTACACGCGAGCAGTGGAGAATCATCCATCAACCAAGTCAGGAGTACCCAAAATGGGTAACAATTCAAAACCTATTTCATATATGTTTTTACCTCATTTTTTCCTTATTCAATTAGCCATTTATTTCAAACATTCCATAACATCCTCAACCAATTAATATAATCAATATATTAAAGGCTATTTATATCACCAAATCACCCCAAAATCACACCAAGGTCCGCCCATTCCCATCCAAAAAGAGCCTATCATATTCTCTACCTTTTCCACCATTTTCCCTTTTTAATTACCCTAATTAACTAGCCAATTAATTCCAAAAACCACCAAAACATTCATTTTATGTTTAAATAGCCAAATAAATTGGCTAATTAAACCGAAATTAAACCTAAAAACCCTAGCCACCTCCTAACTCTATAAATAGGCACCTATTCTCATCAAAGAATCAATTCCAACACTTTGGCAAAAATCCCAAAATTCTCTAAACACTCTTTCTCTCTAAATTCTAACTTTGGCATCGGAGGTTCTTCGGCCAAAGCCCCCCCCATTCATCGTGGGCGCGTGAGGCTCTTGGCCTTAACCTAAGGTGTTAATTATTTTGTAGGTGCAAAATCGTCCAAGATCGAGGAGGAAGAAATTTGCATCCACAAATTGGTGCTTTCATTGAGAGTTGAAATCTATACTCGTAGAAGACTCTCGCACAAAAAGGTTTTTTCTTTATTTTCTAGTCCATTTGAATATTTTTCATACGTTCTTATTATTAGAATTTTTTACTTGCAAAGGTTCTTTGATAAAACGTATAAGAAAAATATAATGGCTAGAAATTTAGAAAATTCCACAAGTGAAAAGTCTAATGTTCAAGAAATGGGATTGCAGAGATCCGTGAGGCTAAATGCGACAATAAGGGGAGCGGCATCATCATCACGAGCTTCCACCATGGGAACCACCATGGTGGCTACCTCGGTAGCCACCCGCGGCGAGGTCCATGGTGCCTTCACCACGGCCACCATGGGAACCACCGCGGTGGCTACTTCAGTAGCCACTCGTGGCGAGGTCCATGGAGCCTTCACCACGGCCCGGAGATCCGTGAGGCAAAATGCAACAATAAGGGGAGCGGCATCACCACCACGAGTTTCCACCATGGGAACCACCGCGGTGGCTACCTCGGTAGCCATCCACGGCGAGGTCCATGGTGCCTTCACCACGGCCACCATGGGAACCACCGCGGTGGCTACTTCGGTAGCCACTCGTGGCGAGGTCCATGGAGCCTTCACCACGGCCCGAGCCGTGCCATCCAAGGCTCACGGTACCAAGACCACGATCCAAGCCGTGCCATCCAAGTTTACGTGGACCCAAGCCCAAGCCTCGCATTCACATGCACCGCGCATTGAGCAGCCTGCTTCCATGATCCAGCCTGCTCCCGTCAAGCAACCCACTCTCACGGCCCAACCTGCTCCTGCCGAGCAGCCTGCTTTCATGACCCAGCCTGCTCCCGACGAGTAGCCCACTCCCGTGGCCCAGCCTGCTTTCGTCGAGCAGCCTACTCCGGTGGCCCAGCCGGCTCCTGCCAAGCAGCCCACTCACGTGGCCCAGCCTGCTCCTGCCAAGCAGCTTGCTCTCGCCAAGCAGCCTGCTCTCGTGACCCAGCCTGTTCCCGACGAGCAACCCACTCTCACGGCCCAACCTGCTCCTGCCAAGCAGCCTGCTCTCGTGAACCAGCCTGCTCCCGACGAGCAGCCCACTCCCGTGGCCCAGCCTGCTTTCGTCGAGCAGCCCATTCCGGTGGCCCAGCCGGCTCCTGCCAAGCAGCCCACTCCCGTGGCCCAGCCTGCTCCTGCCTGCCAAGCAGCCTGCTCTCGTGACCCAGCCTGCTCCCGACGAGCAACCCACTCCCGTGGCCCAGCCTGCTTTCGTCGAGCAGCCCACTCCGGTGGCCCAGCCTGCTCCTGCCAAGCAGCCCACTCCCGTGGCCCAGCCTGCTCCTGCCAAGCAGCCTGCTCATGACCCAG